TATTATATATAAAACTACGTCATATTGCATTACATTATATATTACAGTATATTATTTAGTTACGTAAGCAGAATCATATGTATGACGAGTTGTACATTTATATTAGAACACACACAGAAACGCTATATAAAATAAAAAAAACTATACTCTCCGAACACGCGTTTCAATTTCGATGCTCTCTTCCTCGAACGATACGGAACACACGATATATATTCGAACATTGAAGACGCGCGAGTAGACGAGCAACGTTAAATTACCGTCGAAGATACAATTAATTCGGCGATCGCGTTAAAAACAAATGTGTCTATCGCGCCACTCAATTTTCGTCGTCGTTGTCGTCGATCGAGAAACGAGCGTTATAACGCATTCCCATCTGACCTTCCCTTCTCGACGCCAATTTCGATACAGGACGTTTAATACGGATCTACCATACGCCACAATGTATTTTCCCACCGTTTCCACGAGACGGGCGATTATTTACGATCGACGTCGTGTTACATTTTTCAAGCGCGGCAAAGTGTTCGACGAAAGCGCGACGTCGCTCCGCCCGTGATTGATCGTCCACTCGTGAAACGGGCCGGCGCGATTTATCTGAGAGGAGTTTGGGATGATTACCGTGAGCTTTCTCCTCACCACGAGAGGAGAGGCCACACGCACGCTCCGGAGTCGAGTAGCGAGAAGGTTACGTAAATTCCCGTGACAAAAGACAGAAAATGCATAACACACAATGTGTATAGACTCTTCACTCGTTTTTCGTACGTGTGTGTATTTGTGTCACCCGCAAGCGTTACTTGTAGTCAGAAACAAAAAATTTTAAAATAAGCGTGACATCTGACACATCTCGTGCAATTGGTTTTTCTTTTTTTTTTTTTTTTAATTTTTATTTAATAGATTCGAATACGAGTATGTAATTGTTACGAGTATTTGTTCTCGTCGAGAATATCGTATGATTTGTTTTTAGCAAATTTCTATGCGGAATACTCATTTCAACGGATACTGGAACCAGAATCCACCGCTTGGACGACAAAAAGCAGTGTTACGTTATTTATTTTAGAATTTGTACGCTCTGTTGTCACGAATGATTTCACAGAGCGTACCGATTCTTTAATAAGTGCCGTTAACAATTTTCAACGAAAATTACACGAGGAATCGCCGTTTCTCGGGTAAGTACGAAGACGAATCGCATCTGCAAAATGGAACACTAATACGGAGTAATAAAACTTTTTTTTCTTTCTATAAACATTTAAAGATAAACATCCCTTCCTTTAAACGTAAGTTTTCAAAACTACAGTTTTCTCTCTGAATGTAAAAGCGACTATGAACGTTATAAACGTCATAATAAATTCAGAAGATTACCTTCCACTTCCTTCGCGTCGTGATTCTACAAGCATATGAATGCGTCTGATCCTGCTATTCTGTGCGAGCTTGAAGATTTGTCATCGCAACCCCTCATCAAGCGGTTCACGATGGCTTACCGCGTATCTCTCCATTACACTACGACGACTTAACCGAGATTAATCGACGCTTTAGTCAAATACACTTAGTCCTGCTACTAAGAATTACTCTGGAGATAAACCATTTGCCGTATTACGACTCCCCGACCCTCTCTTTCTCCTTGGTTGAAGAAATTAATCTTTTGCGCGAGATCCCAAGAGAGCGAAAGTTCGGTCTTTGTCAATTTCTTACTTTGCGAAAAAACCAGAAATCATAAATATCAACAACAACCGCAGAGCTAGACAAACGTGCGCTAATATCTCCTCTTGTTTTTGTTACTTTTCGCAATTGTTTAATTAAAAGAAATTACGACTCAATAACGTGTATTGGTAAATGCTATAAATCTAAATATCAAGATTATACCGTTTTCTTCATTAACATTATCGTTATTAAGTTTGTTCAAAACTCGTTAAAAATTGTTTTCGTATACTGCAATAAAAGAACATGATGAATGAATCTTGATTCGGTTGTCCTTGCAGAATACTCATTAAAACTTGCTTTCGTTGTTGTCGTGGATAAAATGCAAATTTTGTTAATCAACAACTTCGCCTCGAGCTAAAACATGTCATTTTCGATTGTGTTCGTGATTCTTTTTTCTTGTTTACCAAACCGTTCGCAAGAAATCATACTTGATATATAAACGTTTTCACCGGTCCGCATATATATATATAGCGAATATTAAAAGTGTCGTAAAGAACTTACATTTAAATTGGAAATTTCTGCGGACGATTATTTACACACGTTATAACGTGCGCGCGTTATATTCTTTTTGTATGAAATTCATTATACGCTATCTATTTAAATCACGCGGTATATAAAATGCAAAAAAAATTGTACCACGACGGTGACACTAAAAACTTCAGACAAGCGCAAAATTGAAAATCCGAGAGAATTCAAGTCATATCATAAACTAAATATACGGTTTCGCGGTATTTATTCTCTTTTGCGGCAATGAGGGCTGAAAAATAATTCGATGAAAGAGCCTTTCTGTGCCCATCAAGATTGCAAAATAATTTCAGTAAAATGTGCTAATGAAAACGCATATATTAAAATTGCAGAATGCAGCGATGCTTACAGATCAAAGGAATTTTATGTGGCGCCAGCCGGAGAATATGGCGACGTGAAATACGAGTGAATATCGAGTAAGAACTTTCATCGATAAAACAATCTAATCCCGGCTATCATAAAAAGAAATAATAATTATTTATGAGAGCGGACGTTAAATTTCTTTTTTTTTCTTTTACGGATATCGGCAACGAAGAAAATTAATGTCGAAGGAAATGAAAGAAAAAAATTAATAAATTATCAAAAGAAATTGACTGTTTTGACACAATCTCTTTTGTGCAATCTTCAAAAAATTACTCTCTTATGATAAGCAGCGGTTGTGAAAACAATCCTTTTCAAAGTAGCTTGGAATCTTCGACTCGGAGAGAGACGCTTGTTTCCAGAAATAATTCCATTAAACGCCACGTTAGAGCCAAGAGAAATGCTGTCGAAAGTGACGAATCGCCTTTCACGGAGAATGAGAGAGAGAGAGAGAGAATGAGACCCTTTCAGGATCACTAAGATAATTATGTCCTTTACGGAATGTCCATTTCGTCGATAGGAGGGAATCTTTGCGCGACCACGACACGTTAACCTGGAAAACTGATCCCGAAGACGACGAAGACGACGACGACGAGTGACGTTCAATAAATATGCTAATATTTTCGCTGCGCTGAAGCGCGGAAATTATGTGCCCTTTCGTGGCATTTCGCCCAATCCGGGTGAAACGACTGTTGATCCTAAGCCGCGGAAATTTATTGCAATTGAAGATCTTACGGCGAGATTGTCGAATGTGTCTGAGAAAAGTCGAGATTTATCTCTTCCGTATCTTTTTCGTATTCCCTTCCTTTAGATAATTCGTCCTGTTTATTATGCATGTGCATATATTTCTCTATGAAATTGAAATAAATCATTTTTGTGATAATCGACAAAAGTTTCGATAGTTTTACAGTCTCATCCTTCTTGCTCCTTGCTTTTGAATTGCATCCAGTGACATAAACTAGAGCTCCTAAGATAAACTAACCATGACATAGTATCTGCATTATGCGTGTGTGTGTGTGTACACCGCACCTGTATTCTGTATATATATATAATCCGTATTCCGCGTAATTCTAACGGAGAACAAAGGAGAATTGTGGCGAAGACAGCGAGTAAGAACACGACGTATCTTCAGCATTCCCTCGAAATGCTTGTCTCGTTACACTTTGTAAACAACACTATTTCGATTCAGTTTTAGTTGTTCGTGTGTGTTTGCGCCAAAGTTAAGTTTATGTAAATCGACTATATTAATGAATATCATTTTACGCGAAACAAAAAAAAAAGAACAAAAAAAAATTTTTTTAATTACTTTCTTACAACGCTTGGGAGTCAACTTTAACTGTTCAGAATTGAAACTAGAACGAGAAACCTTGTACGCGCATAACTAACAAGAAATAATGTCTTTCTTTCTCGTCAAGATCCATTTCTCTCTCGCCAGTGTATTGTGTATAATTTAAAGTTTCACGTCGCGCCGGTAATCGTCAAAATTCTGACAGCAAGACAAAAATGCGTGCAGCCTTTGTACAGCCGGTGGCCTTGCAGTACTGTAAACGTTATTTTTTTTTCAATATGAAAGATCTTTTTTGCGCGTTTCTCTCGCGAAAAAAGGATTAATTAATCTCGTCGTGCGCCGCGTTTGAAAAAAACCTCGCCGGATCAACGGGCGCTGCCGATTAATAATTACGAAGAGAGAACGTCGAATAATTCATGACATCCATATTCAACGACGAGAAAATTAGTTTAGCTGCCGCGAGCTAGCTTTACCGTGTTGTCACTTCTGGATGAGTAATTAATTAATGATAATC